ACAATTCCTTTTAATGTATTATTTCATACATAAATAGCAAAAACATTTACAGGCAGTTGGGATGGGCTCAGGGCAGACAAGCATGTATTTTTCAGCTCTGCAGCTCCTAGAAACAGCATGCCAGACCCTGTGACAAGCAGCTGATTAGGGGGCTAACTCACACAGGGCTTTCTTGTACTATGCTAAGTCCCACTCCCACTTGTTTGCAAGATAGGATTGGCTGCACTCTTGCAAAGGAAAAAAAAAAAACAAACAAAAAGAAACACCACCAAAACAAAACTTTAAAAGGAAAATGGGTGGGTTGGGGCTGATTTCAGAAAAAGAGGTTAGCCCTTCTGCCTACTCCTACATTAGGTACCCAGCTTTGCCCACCCTTTCCTGTCCAGAGGAAAGTAGGCTATGGATTGGTTGGCAGTGCCTGGTGGAAGTACTTGCTTTGCATCCATTATGAAACAGTGAATACTTATACTCTACAGACTCTCAAAGCACAGACACGGGGATTAGAGCTTACCTTCCATTGCTATTGATGAATCAATGTAGCCAGATACATCTCTGAGCTCTGCTGCACTGTCAAAAAGCCGTATCTCCAGTCCCAAGACTCCCATTTCTTTACATCAAAGTATGCTGATAACTGAAGGAACACAGACTACAGCAATAACTGCTGTTGGCTGTAACAGTTTACAAGGAACTTTTAGAATTTTAACGTAAATTAATTCATAGCAACTGGGAAGAAACTAGGGGCTGGAGCTGCAAGGGAAGTCAGGTCTATTAGCTTGCACACCTGGCAGCAGCAAGTTGCTTTGCCTCTGAAGCTGTCAGCATGACTGAAGACCCCCAGCTATTTAAAACTGCAGACATGCCTAAGAAAATGCTAGTCAGTACTCAATGGCACCCAGTGTTTATACTGTACATTGGGAAGATAAATGGGTATCATTTGCAATTGTTAAGGTTTCGTTTACATTTATAGGAGTAGGGGTATTTTGATTACTAGATGGTTTCCCCTACACTGCTCATGTCACATTCTTTCTTTGCTTAAAGGAAGCACTGCATGTATGGAGAGTCAAAAGAAAATCCCGTGTTGCTCTGTAGTAGTGCTCTGGATCAAACACATTACTTACATGCTTTCATTAGTCCAAATGTTGCTCATGGGTACCTATTAAGTGCTAAGTAGTTAATGACCCATTTAAAATAATAAGTTACTTTAAACAGGATTTGAACGGAGGACCTTCAAATACCACACAGATGGTTTAATTTGTCATACATCTACATTCAAAGCCTTCCCTCCTTTCACACAATCAGCTTTGACCCTTCTCCTAGTACACACATTCAGTAATCAAGAGCTACAGTCCAAGTACCATCTTCGATCTCAGCAACAAGCACTGCACATGTGCCAAATGATGGGTGTCCTGGCAGAAGACAAAGCATCAGGACTTGGACTACACAGAAGGTAGCAGAGATCAAAACTATGCTTAGCTGTCTACTTCAGATATGATATGTGTCTAGAAGGAGCATACAAAGATTTTCATTCCCATATCCTAAAATAAGTATTTCTTCTTTTATCTGCTTTTACC